GGGGGGGGCTGTGGGGTCGGGGTCCCTCTGACGGCGCTCCCGCTCCAGGCGTGTCCCACCCGGTGCCGCTGGTGCCGCTGACGGAGGAGAACGAGGATGCCATGGAGGACCGGCGCTTCCGGAGCCTCCTGCGGCAGCTGGGGCTGCGGCCCCCTGCCAGCGAGCAGGTGAGGTCCCTGTCCCCATCCCTGTCCCCGTCCCCTTGCTCCCAGCACAGCCCTGCAATGTCCCCCCCTCTCTGCCCAGGAATCCTTCTGGCGCATCCCGGCCGCCCTCACCCCGCAGCAGCTCCGGCGTGCGGCCGCCTCCATCGCCCACCGTGGCCCCTCAGGAGCCCCCCAGGACCTGCCAGAGCCACCCAAGTGCCCCCAGGACCTGGCTCCAGGTGAGGGGTGGGGCTGGGGGTGTGGGACCCCCAGGTGTGGGGCTGGCTCTGAGCCCCCCTCTTTGTGCCCCTCAGCAGAGCCGGCAGGGCTGGGATCGGACTCGGAGAGGTGAGACTGGGGTCCCCTTCTCAGCTTGGGGGTCCTCTCTCCCTGGTTTGGGGGGTCCTCTCTCCCTGGTTTGGGGGAGGGGATGCAGCCCCCTGGGTTCTCCCCCTGGGGAGCTGAGCTGTGCCAACCCCTGCAGCGAGGAGCCCGTCCCCGTCCCCAGCCCAGTGCAGCCGCGCACCAAGAGGCGCCGGGAGCTCACCAGCGAGGATGAGGACGGTGGGAGCTCAGGTGGGTTCAGCCCCTCTGTTCACTCCTGGGTGTCACCAGGGGCACGGCTGAGCCAGGGTTGTCCTGTCCCTGTCCCCTCTGCCACATCCCTGGGGGGCTCAGCCCTCTCCCTCCATCCCCAGGCACCGAACCGGCCCCTGCGGCTCCCTGCTCCGAGGAGGATGAGGAGGATGAAGGTCCACAGCCCCAGGGGAGGCGGAAGCGCATCCGCTGCCTGGATGAGGAAGAGGAGGACGACTGAGTGGCTCCCCATACCACGCCTGTGCCCAGGCCCTGTGCTGTTTCCTGGGCTTTTTGCAGATTTTATTGGATTTCTGCAGGTTTTCTGCAGGTTTTCTGGTGTTTCTACAGGTTTTCTGGGGTTTCTGCAGATTTTCTTCTGCAGGTTTTGATGCTGCTTTTAAAGGCTGCACAAGCAACCAGTTTCTTCGCCTTCCCCCACCTTCCCCTGGTGTCACCATCTCCGTTTTACCCCAAATTCCCTCTTTTTCTTCAGCTCTTGGGGGTTTTTTTTCCTAAAACTTTTTACGTCTGGACAGGGCCTAAATAAATAAAGGTGACTTTTGGCCTTCTTGGGTGTGTGGGTCTGCAGGGAGGCTGGGGGCTCGAGCTGCCCTGGCCTCAGGGAGTGTCCAGTCCCCGTCCCTGTGCCGGACATGTCGCAATTCCCTGATAACGAGGGCTATAAAGGAGTCACGGGGCCGGCTGCGGCCGCAGTGGCCGGACAGGGCGGGTGCCAGCAGCGAGTGGGTGAGCCGGGGCCCAGGGGGGTCACGGGGGGCTGCAGCCACGGGG